AAAATTAAAAAAAAAAAACAAGAAATGAAATATAAACGCTATTTATCTTCAAATAGACAGTAAATCATTAACAGAAAATGTGGAATGAAAAAGAAAATTTTAAAATGTCAAAGTTTACATTTGAAGTATGTGTGAAGAAAAAAAGAAAAATGTGCGAACTTTTGCAATTTTTACATTTTATCAGTTCGTAAAAAGTTTTAAAATTCATATACTTCTTTAATTGCAGCTAACAAATCACATTACTAAGCAACAAGCAATGCCGAATAAAATGCGTGTCAAAGTTATTGAAGCACAGCGACTTAGTGGTGATCATTGTAAGCATTTTTTTTATCGATTTACTTTTGAGAAAATATTAAAAATTACTCTTATTCAAACATTTATTCATTTTTTGCCACGGAAAAAAAGAAAATATCTAAAATTACAAATGAAACCGTCATTTTCTAACAAATCAAATCAACAAAGCTATTTTATTTCCTTTTTTTTTGGCACACAAATTTCGTTAAAAGCTTTTTAAAAAATTCCAAATTAATATTTCGTTTTCTTTTTTGATTTATGCTTTTTGAATATTTAGCCTTAATTTTTCTTTTTTGTAGAATTGTTTTTTTAAAGAGGTCTTGCACGGTTAATATGAAATAAATTCACTGTGATACGGGAATAATTAATTAAAAGCAAAATTTCTTTTAGTAGTAAATCAACCATATGTTGTACTGGAAATAAATGAACCGGCTCAAAAATTTCAAACAAAACCTGGACTTAGTATTAGTCCACATTGGGAAGAGTCATTTGATTTGTAAGAGTTTCATCTTTTTTATCACCTCTATCAACTGATTACTTTCCTGGAAAAATCTAAAATTTATAAAATATCTTTGAAATTAATTGAAAATTTTAAACATAAAAACCTAATTAGTGATATCAGTTTTGCAAGATGTTTCAAACCTATTACCAAAAAAAGAAGCAATCATTTTGTTTTCATTTTATTTCATTCAAAAAAAAATGAAATTTTTAAATTTAAATATTTATGAAAAAAAAAACTTTGCAGTGATTTAACAGCAGCATCCGAAGAGATTCTATTTGAAATATACGATGGTGGTAGTAGTAATATTTCTACCGGACATGTCGGATATTCTGGACAAAATGAACTTGAAAATGATCGATTTTTGGGGCTTGCAATTGTTGGCTTGGAAGAAGTACGACATTCGAATGCTAACACTTCGCATA